CTCGCATACGAGCTCATTCGCCCTCGCCGTTTGGGCGAGATGTAAAGAGGGTTCTCCTACCGCGGTACCGCATCCTCACCATGCGCGAACACGACAACACATTCGTAATGCAACATACTATCACAGATGCTTCGTTTATCTAGTGGGTAGTATGGATATGTTGGGCCTGTTGACGGACAAGAGAGGTATATAACATGGTCAGCGCCACGGTGTGAGCTGAGCTGTGTGAATATCTGGAAGCTACGTGGACTCGCTACCACGATCGCAAGGCGGAAGAGTTATTTTTCTTTGTTGAGAGAAATTTTTACTAAACAGGGTCTCTTTTAACATATCGCTATTCTCACTCATCAGTCCTTTCCAGGAGCACCGGAGGAACGTTCATTCTTCTTCGAAGATGTCTTCATCCGACTCTACAATGGGTACAACACCACCTACACCGGAGCGCAAAGTCGACTTCGTCATTGAGGAACAGGACTTGGGAAGTATCCCACTTACTCAGCCCCAAGTCTTCAACAACACCCTCTCTCGCCGCCTCAGTCGCCCTACGCTTCCTCCTTCCCTCCCCTCTCAGACACCCTCCGCCAAATGGAAGCGATCGGAGGGTTTTTGGCGATCATTCGTTGCCATATGCATCCCATTACTTCTCTCCGCTCTCGAGGGAAGTGTGACCAACACCGCCCTCCCTACCATCTCGGAGGCTTTGGATCTCGGCACCAAATTCTCCTGGGTTGCGACCGCGTTCCTCCTCGCAAGCACCATCTTCCAGCCCTTGTACTCTCAGTTCGGCGATATGTGGGGAAGGAAGACTCCTATGATGACTGCTGTTGCCGTCTTCGCAGTGGGCTCAGCTATTTGCGGTGGCGCTCAGAGTGGCGCAGTGCTTATTGCTGGACGCATTGTCCAAGGTCTAGGGACCGGTGGCATTGATTTGTTTGCCGAGATGATTCTCTGCGACATCGTGCCATTGAGAAAGAGAGGTCCGTATTTGGCGATCAAGCACGTTGCTTTCGCCGCTGGCACCACACTCGGTCCACTCCTCGGAGGAGTCTTCGCTGAACACGGCTGGCGATGGTGTTTCCTCATCAACATACCCGTCTGCGCCATCTCCCTGGTCGTCATCTGGCGCTGGCTAAATGTCGGCGGAAGTAACACTACCCCAGAAACAACCCTCCGGCAAGAACTGAAAAAGGTGGATTATGTTGGAAGCGGCATGCTCACCGGCTCCGTTCTGATGCTTCTCGTCTCCCTCAGCACAGGCGGCGCACCGAAGCCCTGGTCCCACGTCTCCGTCGTTATACCCATGGTCTTCGGTATCCTGGGTCTCATCGGCTTCGGTTTCTGGGAACGCTGCACCTACTGCAAATACCCCATCATGCCACCGCACGTCTTCTCGAACCGCACGACAAACATTGCTTTCGCACTCACAACCATGCACGGCTTCATAACTTACGGTTTCCAATTCTATCTCCCGCCTTTCTTTCAAGCAGTCAAGGGCTCCTCGCCCACACAATCAGGTCTAGAAGTCATGCCCACGACCCTCGTTATCGTCGTTCTCGCCGCAGTCGGCGGGCCATTGCTCAGCTACTGGGGCAAATACAAACCCATGCACATCATCGGCTTCGCTTTGACGACCCTCGGCCTAGGCCTCTGTACACTGCTCAATGCCAAGTCCTCGATTGGTGTCTGGCTCTCCCTCCAGCTCATCACCGCAGCCGGTCTCGGCATAGTCATCAGCACAATGCTTCCCGCCGTACAAGTCAAGCTCCCCGAATCCACAACCGGCGCAAGCGCAGGCTCCTGGGCCTTCCTCCGCGGTACGGGCTCTCTCTTCGGTGTCGCCATCCCCGGCGCTGTCTTCAACGTCCGTTTCGCCTCCTTACTCCCCACCATCTCCTCTGCAACTGCTCGCGCTAAGCTGGAAAATGGTCAGGCGTATCAACGCGCTACTGCATCTTTCATCGTCACGCAAGCCACGTCACCCACCATCAAAGCTGAGATCATCAATGCGTTTACCCAAAGTCTCAAGTGCGTGTGGATTGTTTTTGCAGTTCTAGCAGGAATCGGGTTTTGTCTTACGTGGGGTGAGAAGGAGTACAAGATGCGGAAGGAACTCAATACGGTGTATGGACTCAAAGCGAAGAAGACGGGGGGTAGTGCGAGTACGACGCCAGGATTCGTGGATTCGGGGGTTGCTACACCGGTCAATGTAGATAGCAGTGATGAGGAGATGAACAAGGCGAATGGGGAGGATGACGGGTGTGCGGTTGAGATGGATGAGGATGATGTTGAGTTGGGGGATATTAGGAGGAGAAGTGGTGAGGTGTGATGAGGGTGCGGGCAGGGCAGATATCCTGCTTGTACTAATAGTGGAATTAAGGAAACCTCTGATTCAGACTTTGGGCTGGGCGCTTTAACTGGTACAAGTGGGCGTTGAACATTGTGTTCAAGACTTGAGATAATCGATGCTAAATGCAGCGTATCTAGTGTATATCTATTCTAAACCCCCACGAACCTGTCTCCAGCCTAGTAACATTACCCAACCTTCCTCTTCCCATCACAACTCCTTCCATCACCGCCACGCCGCCCCTCCCCTCACGCTTTCCATCCTCCGCTTCGCCTCTCCAAACCTCCTCCTCGCCTCCTCAAACACTCTCTGCGCCTCAATCACCTCCATCCTCCTCACGTTAAACTCATGCGTCGCTCTTTGCGCTGCCTGGACACGAGGATCTATCCTCGGCGCTGGATATGTATCGCGCATGTAGGACTCGAAGAGAGTGCTGGTGGCATTATCGTCTCTGTTCCCGTTCTCATTCCCACTGTCATAGCTGTTGAGAACATCCGATTGTGGTTGTGAGTACGTATTCGTTCGTATCGGACAAGGCGTATCCGGATCTCCGCCAAATTCCCGAGCTAGGCTATTGAACAAGGGAGTGAAAGAAGAGAACGGTGGAACAATGCCAGGAGACATAGCTGTAGGCGTGGGTATCTCAGCAATGACGATCGGAGGGGGTCGGGAGCGGCGCTGCGTCTGGGGTGTGGTAGTTGTAGAAGGAAGTGTTGCTGTTATCGTAGCTTGTGAATCCGGGGGCGTGGGTATATCATCGAAGTTGATGCAGATTGGCGTGCTGGGCTCGTTGTTGTTTTTGGTAGTGTTGTCGTCTTCGGAGATGACGCAAAGTTCCTCTTTCAGTCGTTTTGCTAGTCTTTGTGCGTCTTCGTCTTCTTCATCTTCAGTAACGGCATTCATCTCCTGTCTAATCGAGTATTTCCTCTTCCTCGTTTCATCTTCTTTGATCGGAACGGGCCCTTGCATTTTGCGTCCTCGGCTCATTCTTCGTAAACTCTCGCATGCTTTTTTCACATCGCTGATTTCCAGGATGGCGAAGATCTTTTGGGACTTGCCACTGTATGAGCCTTCGCGGATGCGTGCTTGGAAGTAGGTGTTTAGTAAGTTGTGTGCTCGGTCTCTTTGACCGATTGTTAGGGTGGAGAGTTCGTGGATGGACTGGATAATTGGGGCCGGGAGGCAGTTGATTGGGACGCCGGCGAGGAGTGAGGCAGGAAGAATGGGTTCTTCTGAGGTCGCGGGGTGGATGAACCAGTTTTGTTGGATGGCTTGGATGTGGTTTATGATGTCTATTTGGCCTCCTGCACTGGTGGGATTTGATGTGTTAGACATGTTTGTCATTCCCATGGTGCTTATCGTGTGTTCGGCTCTTGGTTGATGGAAGATACTGGGATGCAGGCGCAGTTTGTGACACAATGTCACGATCATAAGATGTGCCTCGACGCTGGTTCATAGCTAGAAGTGCTATAACAAAGAGTCGGTGGCTACAAAGGTCATGGGATGAGTCCCGGCTTTGTCCGTGATCAAGTCCGAAAACTCGTGTCTGGTGGCGCTTTGTCCAGTGGCTCTGGAACAGTGTCGGAGACCGCACTTGACGTAGCGGAGGCTGTGCGGGAGGCGAACTTCATAACATAGAAGTCGTGAGGCGTGTTTCAGGTTGAGGTCGAAACACTATCGGTGAATAGAGTCGTATCTTGAAGCGCTGATGCGGCCGGCATAGACGAGAGAAGAACGTACATTCGCGTAGAAGCCTGAAGTAGAACAGATGACGACGCAGTATAAAGAATACGCAATAGTCGAAGAGACCCAGACACATCAAGATAAACTCATTGTCGACCCATTACCTATACTTCATGATGACTTCCGAAAGCCAAACTCTCCAACGTAGCCTCCCGCCTACCGATTCCCCCTAAGTATATCCCCAATCTGACTGAACGGATTCCTCAAACCCTTTGCACTACCTCCCCTCCCAGCCTTGGTACTCATCGTCTTCGGCGGATCATGCTTATAGCCACAACCAGGATTTGTGCATCCATTTGGCGAGGTGATTTGCCACCTACAGAGAGTTTCTGACTGAAGCGGCTTTGCCTGTTTTTCGTTCCTGCGCGCTCCAGATGCATTGATGATATCTTCTAACGATCGTTCGATGCGAATGGTAGGAGGCTGATGTTGAGGTTGATGTGGCATAGGTTGATCGTTCTTTGTTATCCTGTCGGCGAGTGAACGGTTTCCTCGAGGGCCAGTTGGTGGGGTATGGTAACCAAATGGCGTTTGGTTATCAAAAGAGGTGGGCTGGTCACCCCTTGTTACCCGTTCAGCAAGTGTCGGTTTGCGCACTGCTGGCGCTGGTGGTGGAGCGTGGCCGAACGGGTTCTTGCTGTTGCTAGTGTGGAAGTCAAAAGTCTGGTCTTGCTGCTTAGGTTGCAAGGCAGATCGCCCATTCCCCTTCATCTGCCCACCGAAAGGATTTGAACCACCCGGCAGGTGGCTGGAAAAGGGGTTCGTTTGGGAGAAGTTACTTGATCGCGGTGCAGGGACAGGGTCGATGACCATCTGGTCAGTCCGAGAAAACTGTTTTGACTGGCCTTTTGATGCGGCTTCTGTGAGGAAGAAAGGATCGTGGCTGTGTTTACACCTCCCACCGAATCTGCAACTACCGCTCAACCAGAATTTGCATGCGGTGTGGGGTAGCTTGCAACTTCTGCCTAAGATGCAGGTCCCGTTCTTGTGTGCTGGGCAAGCCGACTTGAAGTTGCCGTCGCCGGCTGACATTCCGAAGAGATGTGAGGGAGCGCCGTTGGAGATATGAGTATTGAAGGGATTCGACTGGCCTACACCGCGTGTGATCGACGTTGAAGAATCGACCTGACCAAAGCTCGGGTGTTGCTGCGAGCTATCAAACCCTCGAGTGTCCATCATTTGAACGTCGTTGTCTTTCGGCGTAGGATGGTGTGAAACTTGGCCGAATGAACCTAGCTGCCCATATGACCCACCATTTACAGAGCTTCCGAAGGAAGTGCCTAGAGAGCTCTGTGGTTGGTAGAAGCTATTGTTGGCAGTCTGATTGCTACTGAATGAAGAGTTCATTGTAGTGCTACTCTGTCCTGCAGTAACTTGAAGTGACGATGTTGTAGGGGCCTCAGGCTTATTTTGGGCACCCTGCTTAGCAGACAGGTTGGCTAGGTCGGTTTTGAGCTTGTTGATCTCAGTTGTTTGTTGCGCAATCTGATCCTGGTATGATTTATCGCGTTGAGCTGTTGCTGCAGCTTCCGCGACCTTCTTCACACTCTCTTGAGCGCGTTCCTTTGCGGCGGTCATCTCGAGCGACTTGATCTGTTGCTTCAGCTGATCTCGCTCTGCTTGAACTCGCTGGACTTCGTCAAGTCGTTCCTTCTCTTGTTGACGGGCCTGTTCCTCTTTCTGCAGACGTAGGGCTTCGGCCTTTTGCGCTCGGTATTCTGCCATCTGCTGTGCGTCGGGACCAATGCTGGTCCTCGCAATCTTGTCCTCGGTTGCTTTCTGCAACGTCTCTATCGTCTCGTCGATCGACCCAATTGGGAAGCTAAAGCTCGCAGGTGGCGGGCTGAGCCAACTTTCCATTTCTTCAATGTTGGTGACCAGATCGCCGAGGAGGTGGTGCGGTCGTGAGTACTTTATCAGGTCGCGGAGGGCTCGAAGCCGGTACATTGGCAGCGGTGTGTAAGGCATGACGTTGCGCCATTGCTCACCTTTGGCGAGAACATAGTGTAGGCCGTTGAGACACTCGCGTACTTCGACGATGGATTGTTCGTTGACCTTGAAGCCATTTCCCATGACTCTGTCGATGACTATCATGTCATTTCGCACAGTCTCGTAGTGCTTCGCAAAGTCCTTCACAAGCACGCCCTTCTTTTCGTTCTTTTGAGGGATTAGAGTTGTTAGACGAGGGATGACATGACGAGCCGCTGCATTCTGCTTCATGGTTCCTTTCAACGCGGCGTGGCTGAACAACTCGACAAGATCCTCTCGCCAGTCGTTCGCAACGTCGGCAGTATACTGCGAATAGCCGGCGATGTGTAAGCGCGTCTTGTACGCGCTGAAGCACATCTCAGCCATATACTTGGCGTTGTACTCCTTTTCGTTGGGGCGACTCCTCTTCGAACGCGCTGCGATGGGAGTCGCGTTGGGCTCAGCCTAGACGTCTGCGTTAGTTCAGAAGGAAGAGATCTGAAGATAAGTGGCTCACCAATTCTGACTGGCTGTCCGCAGTAGCCCGCTTCCTCTTTCCGCCTGCCAGAGGAACTGCGTATGTTTGGTAGCCAGAGCCGTTGACGGCCGAGGAGTGAGCCATTGCGCTTGGCGATGAGCAATATCTCGACGGAGTTGCTGTCGTTATCTTGTAGCCAGTAGGCGTGTTGTCAAAACAAGAGTAGGACCAGGAAAGCGAACTTGTTAAGTGGATGTCGGATCAAACTCGTGTAGTCAAGCAGGGTTTGTGTACGGGCTATTGTACACGCCACTAAGCCCGAATCAGGAATCGAGTGAGTATTGCGAGTAGATTGTGGTAGTGAAGGGGAAGAACGATAGATACACGTGGTGGTTGGGTCCGTGCGAAGTGAATGTGTGTTCGACAAAGACGTGGCTTGAAAGACCAGCACAAGGGCGACTAGGAGTAGATGGTGAATGAGAGGCGTCACGATGGTTCATATTTGTTCTGGTTTGCGCATACAGTAGCTCTTCAGCTGTGGTGGTAACAGGTGAAGAACAAGAATCTAGTGATTATCGAGCTACAGTTCAGTCTACAGTGCCGAGACACAGGGATAGAATCTGGGAAAATGACCCGAGTTATGAAACATACTCGATATAAGGACGTAATGGACGTGACTTTGGAATGGGAGACGCTGGAGGGGAACAAGATGGGATGGCTGTTTTGATAGCAAACCGCAAAGGGGATAGCTTGGTCAGGTTTCCCCATAGGCAACAGGCCAGACGTATAAATGCTGTATCGCATGATGGCTGTGACGATGTTGTCGCGACTACTTCATACGGGTGGATGCCGAGGATCGTTCCTTCCTGGGGATATCCCATGCCGAATGTCTGCTTGACCAAGGCCAGACATACTTGAAGCCAGGGTGCACAGAGGTAGCGACGAGAATATAGACATTGTGAAATAGATTATTCGTGATAAAAACAAAAAGAAATACGAACAAGGTTCAGGTATCTGCTGGCTCGGCGATGGCCGCCCTAGCGCAAATGTTGGGCAGGCACGGGATGCGGAGAGCAGATCGCGACGGGGAAGAGCGACCGAGGCAGGGTCGTCCCTCACCCGTCGATGTTTGGCCTCTCCAACATTGGAAGGCATCGCGACCATGCGCAATCCCGTGGCGTGTGTGTCCTGCAGGTCCGCGAAACAGAAGTGCATCCACGAAGACCGGCCGCCGTGCGACAGGTGCAAGCAGTGCGGGCGCGCCGATCGGTGCGAGTTCCCAGGTGCGTCGAAGCTCCTGCCGTCCCCTATAGTGCGCGTGTTGACAGACGATAGCGCCAGGAACCAGCGCGATACACCGCAAGCCCAAGCGACCACGGCCCTCTGAAGATGCAGGAGACGCTGGAGACACGCCGACACCAGCCAACTCGAGTACGACGGTTGTAGCGCCCCGTCAGGGCCGCCATGACGCACATCTGCCGACCGGCACCCAGCCGGCACAGCACGCGTCGCCGAATGCGGCATCCGCGCTGCTCGACGGCCTCGATCCCTTTGAGCTGCTGACGGACGAGGTCAAGAACAGCTACCTCAGATGCAGCTACAAGTGGAGTTTCCACCACACGCCGACGCTGCTGCGCCGGATCCGCGACCGCACCCTCGAGCCATGGATGGCCTGGGCGATCCTGGCACTGGCCATCAGGTATGCGAGCACTCACACCCACACTGCAGGCAGTCGCACATCTAACATGACGTAGATTCGTCAAGGAGCCGCCCTCGCCCTTCCGGTCGCAGACTGAGGCCAGCAATGCCTATGCCGCCCACGCCCGCCAGATCCTGCAGCAGGACCTCGAGACGCCCTCGATAAGCCGCGTCCAAGCCCTGTTGATGTTGACGGGCCATGACTGGGGCGCCGGCAATGGAAGGCGGGCGTGGATATACCTGGGCATGGCGATTCGGCTCGTCGAAGTCATGGACCTGACGCGCGAGACGGGCATACCGCGAAACCGCGTGCCGACGCGCGAGGAGTTCATCGAGGCTGAAGTGCGCCGACGGACTGCCTGGACCTGCTTCCTCATGGACTCGCTGCTCAGTGGCGGCAAGGGGCGCAAGCGATCGTTGACGCACGCCGACATGAAGATTCAGCTGCCCTGCGAGCGCGAGGACTTTGTCTTCGGGGAGCCTGTATGCACACCCCAGCTAGACAACACACAGCGCATGCCGCCAGTAGCCCTGCCAGTAGGAGAGATTGGCATCATCGGATATAGTATGCGCGCTGCCAACATCTGGGGCAAGGTCGCGCGCTGGGCGTGCTCCGAAGACCTCAAGAGCGAACTGCCATGGGCCTCCTCGTCGCAGTTCCAGCAGCTCATATACGAACTCGAAGGCTGGAAGGCCTCGCTCCCGCAGCGCCTGCAGTACGACCTCTTCACCCTCCACAGTCACAACGCCGTCGAGCAAGGTCAAGCGTATTGCTACATGCACTGCATACACTTCATGAGCTACATGTTCCTGCATCGCGCATACCTGCCCGTCCTGGGACCGCAACAGAACGGGGCGAACCCCGAAGAGACGCCCAACTCCTACGACGAACACCGTGACATGTGGAAGAAGTGGGAGAAGACTTCACGCAAGGAGTTGTTTAAAGACTCTGTCATGGTCCTAGACATGCTCGAGGAGATGCGCACTTTCGGCGTCTACTTCCTGAGAGGCCTAGTGCCGTGGATCGGCTTCACCATCTACACTGCAGTCGGCGCAATGCTGTACAGCTTCAACTTCCCGAGTGGTGATGACGACCCTCGCTGGCGGGAGAAGGCGCGCAAGAGCGTCATCCAGGGCTGCAACTTCCTGAAGGAGATGAAGACGCAATGGCCCATGGCAGAGACCTGGGTGAGTAACTCCAAACATCTAGAAAACACACGCTGACAGCCACAGTATGATACCATCAGGCGCATGCAAGCGTACTACCGCTCGATACTTGGCCAGGACGGCCCAGCATCACCTGAAGAACGACGAGCCTTGCGACATGCCATGATCGACTACGGCGCGTTGCAGCCCTCGCCTGTGCAAAAGCCAGCTGATGCTCGAGACATCGCTTCCAGCAGGTCCCCTTCACAACAGCACAACGACCAGCGCAAACCCATGATCGCCAACCTTACCAACCCACCCGTTAGAAGCCCCTTACCCGCTACAAGCCCCATGCCTGCCGCAGCGCCCACACCCAACAGCTACTCGTCCAACTTCTCGTGGAACACGCCTCCAGCGGTGCCCCCATTGGAAGCCGACGAAACCTTCAATCTCGACTCGTTCGAATCATTCGCCCTGACGAATGAAGAGTTAGAGGCTATGATGATCAACGCGACACAGGAATTCTGGGCTAGCTTCCCGGGCGAAGTGGGTGTGGGATATTAGGAAAACGTGGTTCGGATTGCTACGATCTGGCGTTAATGGAAGGGACAAAACGGGCGGTCTCGTATGTTACATGTAATAATAGTAATTCATTTTCCAAGCAAGCGTCGTCGGCAGCGTCGTCTAATGTATACCTGAGATGTGCATTCCCGCTACGCCCCATGATGCAATTTGACTCTCACCTTCCATCACCTCGCAACTGCAAAGATCGCCACTTCACATTCAAGCCCACCCAAAAGCTTAGAACAAAAGCTAACCACCTATCGCAGATGCCCACAAGACGGGTACCTGAACCCTCCCTCGTTTCGTCACACAGATGCCGTAGGTGCAGGGCGAAGCCGGATAAGTCGGCACACAGGCGGCTTGTTTTGTGGAATGATGGGCACACACCGAACTGGGGTGGAGCGCGATCCACAAGCTTAAGTTGACTACCTCTGGCAAGTTCCTGACGCGTTCTCTTGCACTTTATCTCCTCTGTCGTTTTCCAACGATATCGTCTTACGCCATGAATTGGATGTCGTTGCGGCAACCGGTGTCTTTCGGCCCTTCTCTGGTAGGGAAGAGGAGCATGCCCATTTGGACTAGCGCGATTTGAATGAAAGAGAAGGGACAAGGGATTTCGACTTTCGACGCGTCACGCTTCCAACGTAATTGGAGATAGCGACGCGTTGATACTCTCTTTGAGAACCCTCGATCTTAAGGAACGAAGGCACCGCTCCGCCTGCATCTATTGGTTAGCTGTGGATGATGGCGACTGCAGCGGAATGAATTTCGTCTCCGAAACCACCCGCGGCGTCCTGATGACCACCGAGGCATTGACAGGACCTTACACCAGCAGCGATAGGATGTACATCGTCGCCCAACGCTGGATACCGCTGCGTTATCTGATGTACACATCCCAAGAGACCTGACTTGCATAGTCTGATGGCAAACATAGCCCCTCGGGATCATCTACGCAGATGGTGAGTCCGTCATGGAGGTACTTCCTCATAGCGCCTGGCGGGCCAAGAGTCCGCCTCTGTTGGTAAATGGCTCTCAGCTTACGCATGATACCACCGAGCCGGACTGTAATTGAGTTGACCAGCAAGTCGAACACTGGTCCAAGGGATGCCATGCGAGGTCCCCTCTGTCCGGTTTGCACCTCAAGATCAACTATATTGGCTGACCTACACCCGAGCTTACAGCCCGCTTTGAGACTTTGACACAGGACGTCGCCGACAACCTCAGCTACTCGCAGGTCACTAGCTTTGTACGGGTTCATCCACATTTTCATTCATCAAAGCGCGACACCCTCCTGATGCTATCCAACGGCATTTGAATCATTCTTTGACACCATGTGTTGTGATACAGACTCATTGTTGGTCAGAACAGCAGCCTCGGCGTTCGCGAAGGATGTGCTCGAAAATCGCGCAGGAGCTACCTCCGCGAGATGATGTTCCGGAGATGGTAAACCTCACGATGTCAGTCGCGTAGCGTATGTGCGTTAATCTTCGGCTTGCACGCTGGAAACGCCAAGCAGAGTCTGTTGCAAATTCCTAGGCCTGTCCGTCAGCTTTCGGACACTGTTCTGGAAGGTGAATTAACGCATGAGCAAATAACATGCGTGGGAGGGGTGGTAGACCCAGGGCCGTGGGAGGGCCTGGTTCAGCTGGTAGATGGATGTCGACGTCTGGCGACCGTTGATGTTACCCACGTTTTGGCGTGCGATGATCCCATTGGCTGCCGATTCTACACGAGAC